CTGCATGACCCTCACTGGGGATCGAGCCCACAACCCAGACATGTGCCCTGACTGGGAATTGAACCCGCCATCTTTCGGTGCATGGGGCAGCACCCAACCGACTGAGCCACACCTTCGAGGGCCACTTCCGCTTTTGACGGTACTGTGCACTGGGATGGTTGGTGGAGGGCATGCCCATGCGACTGGCTGCCAGCAGTGCATCTGGGCTGTACCGTGCAGCCTGCCTCTGTGTCTTGAATTTCTGGCCCCTGCCTGCTCTCGGCCTGCCTGCTCTTAGTTGATTCCATTGCATGATTAAAATGGCCAGAGAACGAGAATCTTAACCCTCCTCTGGCTCAGAATGGTGTGTGCCGACTCTGCACTTGTAAAGCAGATGCTTGTCCTCCAGCCAGAGCCTCTCTGTCTCCCAGTCCAGTTCCTGTTTCAGTCAGGGCGGGACCTGCTGTCAGCCCAGGGCGGATGCTGGGTCCCCATCCCCCTGGCCAGGGCACTCACACAGGCTGCTTCGTGGTATTTAAGACGGATCTGGACACCTGGGAGTTCCCAGCCCTGCAAACAGGAGCCAGTTTTTCCTTTTACCCCGAAGTATGTAAACAGTAGCGGTCAGGGTCTCATAGAGCCCATAAAGCCACCTTAGCAATACAGCTGGAGCAACATCTTTTGAATTTGAGTAGCTCAAGTGTTCATAAAGTTAATGTGACGTATCTAAAATACAATTGAATGATGGAATCTGAGTATCGATTTAGTTGGAGGATGGGGGCAGGAGATTTTACAGAGAGTCTGCACGTTTTCTGGGTCCTTTAAAAATAAGGTTTAGAATATTTGAGTCTTTTCATGATTAAGCAGAATATTATATTTACTGTTGGTTTGTAACTTACAGCTTTTCTTTTCCTCAATAGATATAGAACCCTAACATGATTTTGATGCTTACCTCTGATTTAGGGCAGTCTTTGACTATAATATGGAACAATAGGAAGATAAATGTTTTTCTATGCTATTCAATAATTTGAAAGGGAGGAGAAGGGTCGTGAAATAGAAGATATACACTGATGTTTAATGAGGGCTCACAGGTTCAACCAGGGTTCTGCCCTTTTCAACAATGTGGCTTCCAACTCCCAAATGCAAAACACCCCACCCCCAGGGGAAAGGTGGCGATGGCAGGGTCTGGGGGTGCTGGTGCTGACTTCAGGGCTCCCCAGGGCCTGCCCCGAGGCTGTCTGGGGTAAGAGCAGCAGAGGGGAGGATGGAGAAGCCAGTGGCCCTGGCTGCCAGGCCGAGGCGATCTTTGCAGACCGGGGTTCTTTCTTCCAGGTGTGCCTGCATTTACTCATGTGCTGTTTGTCTATGGAAAAGACTGTTAAGCTATCAAATAGTGAACTACCTCGGTAGTTCCTGAAGCCGTGATCATGGTTTTGGTCTCGTTTCTTTTAGGTTACCCCTGTTTCAGGCCAGTGCTTTTGCATTTCTGGCCCCTGCTCGAGCCATCCTGTCTTTAGATAAATGGAAATGTAACACCACAGGTAATTGCAGTTATTTCCACATATGTCCTTGGGGTCCTTTAACTCAGGTGATAAAAGGGAGGCCTGGACATGCTGCCCTTGGCAGCCTGAAATCCTGTCCGGAATCAGGCACAGAACACACAGACCAGCAAACAGCTTAGAACGCTCCCATCTGTGGATCATGTTTCTGTCTCTCTCTGTCCACTCGTTCATCCCTAACCCCAGAGCAAGTGAGGACCAGAAGGGACCGCATTTCTCTATGCTAATGAGATGGATATGTATGGGAATGAAGAGAAAAATATTTGTGCTGTTTTTCTGCCTCTTTCTTTCAGTGGATTTTATGAACCACCAGTAATCACTCTCTTTGCTACATCAGCGTCCCTTCTCTGAAACATCTCTGCTTTTTAAGGATCTGGCTGCTGTGGTTTTCTGCAAATGACTTTCACCTCCCTCTCCCCTTTAGTGATAAGATCAGGAAGAGATAAGATAGGGGACTTGAGAAAACCAGACCTGTGGTACTCTCAAAAGACTGTTCCGTTTTTAGGTTCTAGGAGCAAAGTTTTCCAGCTTTCATTTCCTTCCATGCTCCTTGGAGTTACTTGGTGACCACTGAGTTGGTTTGGAAACTGGAGAAGGCGCTCCGTTTTGTTGAGGTTTTTAAACCTTAGGCAGCCGTGCTAATGGTTTGCAAGTTAACTGCTTGCAAGGGTTGGTCTTTGCGTGAGGCTGGCACGAGCCATGTGCATCACCAGCTCAGTCAGCTTCTGACAAGCTGGGAGCTTCAGCCCATGAATACATTTGGTTAAGTTAGCGCTGGGGAACCCGCCCCTCAGTATGGTAAGCCACACTGTTGAATTTCAGGGATGGGAATTTACACACATATACTTAAGACAGGGAGGAAATTCTTCTTAAAAAGAGTTGAAATGAATGTGTCTTGTGAAATGTCAGTGTTGTTTCAAGAACAATTTTGTCTTTGTTTTTGTTTTCAAGATGTTTCATTTGTCAACGGAACCACAGAACTGCTGCACACAGAGCACATCTGGTACCCCCGCATACGCGAGGTAAAGGCAGAGCATGCCTGCCTGTGGCTGCTTTGTGTTTCTCCTCAGCTTCACTGTCGATTGTGCCCGAGAAATGGCAGTTGCTTGACGAAGCCGCCCCTTGCTTCTCAGCTACTGACATGTCTATCTCTGTCATTAAAGACGTCGTTCAGTTTAGATGGCATCCCTGTACCATAAAGCATGCAGAAATGCTTTGTGCAACCAGACAGTCTTGTTTCTCACCCTTCATCTCCCTCCTCTTTCTGGTGCACCCACAGGCCTGCCCACTGGCATCCCCAGCGGAACCAGCCGAGGGGCGTGGCTCCTTTGGAAGGAGCTACAGAGGCTTGTCAGCAGGCAGCAGAACTATTCACTCCGGCCTCCGTGTTTGTGCCTGTATTTGTGGAAAGAATTAAGATAATTGTCTATTCAGTGCCCTTGAACAGAACAGGTCGTGGGAATCCTTAGACATGAGAATGGCTGGCAGTTTATTCAGATCTTTTAAAACCTGTAAGATCATTCACCCTTCATTCAGAATCAGCCCAACTATTCTGTACAATAGAAACATTCCTTTAGCATTTTTGTCAATTGTGTTGTCTT